ATTTAGGAAGAGCAATATGTGAAAATTAAGTTGCATTTGTTTTGCTTGTAAGCATTTGCGTGCTGAGTCGTCGATTGGTGGTGGCATTGGGCGCGCGCGTGCACTTCATTTCCTCTCCAAATAAGCAATTTTCCCATGATTTCATTGGAAATTGAGTTGTGCATTCGGATTCGTTGTGTTTTTTTTCATCTTCTTCTCTTATTCCGACTTTTTTTTTAGTATCGTAGATAGTTTTGATTGTCTGTTAAATCGATGCAGATCGCATAGCGAACCGATTCTTACATGGACATGGGAAGAAGAACAAAAAAAAAAAAAACACACACACACACACAAATATTGAACATATACTTTGAGCACCGAGTAGATTTTTCAATATTATCAAACAAATAAATAGCAACAAAAAATTTACCAATAACAACTATTAAACAAAAGAAAATTTAGCTCTAATTAAATAAAAAAAAAACTTCTATATAAAACTATATATATACATACATGTAAAAAAAACAACAACAACCAGCTAGTTAATCTATTCGAGACAAACAACAACACAACAACAAAGAATAAAAAGAAAGAAACACTCAAAAGCATTTATCATATAAATAATGTTATGTGGTCATCATCATGTTTGTGAGTACAACTAATCCAGCATTTGCTTTATGTTATTATGCTAAAAAAAAACAAATAAAATAAACGGAACAAGCAAAAAAAAAAAATCAATGACAACACTCCTGTGAATATTTTATTTTTCATCCTTACTTCTTCTTCTTCTTCTTCTTCGGTTTCAAGTATTGGTTCCAAATTGAGTGAGACTCTCAATGGTATATTTAAGCGTTTGCTGTGTGAAGCATGCATTATTTTAGTGGGCAGCTCTTGCCCATTTGGGCAGTTCTAAATCCCAAATGGGCAGCTCAAAACTCAAAAATGGGCAGTGTTTTACTTAAATTTTCTTGAAAAGAGTGAGAGAATTCCCGTTCTGTTCAATTCAAATTCAAATTCAACCACGAATTCGTTCACCTTATGAAAATTTGAAAAGCTCCTAGAAAGGAGAAAATTACATTGGAAGCGAAATGAAAATAAGTGGCGGTCACAACGCCCCGAACGGACAGCATACTCTAATGTAATAGGAAAACAGAACCATACTGTCCGTCCGGGGACCGCCACTCAAAATTACAATTGTTTCGAACAAAACAATTCGGTTGAAAGCGAAAAAAATCTCTTAAAACCAAAGCCACAGCCAAACAAACAAGAAACCGAAAACAAAAAGAACTCAAAAACATTTCGCGACACAGCAAACGATCAAATATGAGCCAAACTGTGTATTTTTCACAATTTAAGTTTGCCCCTGTGTATCTCTATCCATTCTTTCTTGTTGATCGTTTTTTTATTTTGTGTCTAACATTCAGTGAATTTATTTTGGATTTGGAAAACTGGAACATTTTATGTGGTGCGTTTAAAACGAACAAGAACAAAAAAAAACAAGAGCATGGAATGACAACGTTAAAGAGAGAAGAATCATGAAATTAAAACCAAACGAATATGAAAAAATAAAAATGAAATTATTATCAAATTAGTAAATGCAATGCAAATGAACAAGAGAGGAAAACAGAAGTTAAACAACAACAACAACAAAAAACTAAAACTTACAAGAGAAAACATAATACAATGATCAATTATTAGGATTTATTATAAATATAATCATTTTTATTATTGTTATTATTTGAACACACTGATCGAACGGAGTGGAAAAACTGCTGATAAAGCGACCAACGTAACTTTATGATGCCGTCTGTTTGAAAATATTGCTATGCGCCTACAACACACTCTCACACTCACATCCACGCCCACACCCACACACTCACAACAAAAACAACAACAACAAAAAGAAGAGAAATTATCACACACGCATTTAACCACTGACAAAAACAGAGAAAATTCAGGACATAAAATCCCGATGTTTATCGCCTAAGTGGGTCTCATAAAACTACGTGAGTCGCTTTTGTCCGACATTCCTTTCAGTTCGTTCGATTCAAAGGAGATTTAAAAACAACAACAAAAAAACAAACAAACAAATAAATATATATATATTAAAAATTATTAATTAAACAATACATAAAATTATATATTTGAAACAAATAAAAATTGATAAATTTAATTGGAATACAAAAAAAAACCACACATTGCAAGCATGCGTTTTATTTTCACCGTCGAGAGATGGCGCATCTGGTCACACATGTTCATTTTTTCCGTTCATTATTATGGTTTAGATGGTTACAACGGATGTGGCTGAGTTCAATTCTGAGTCGGTGGTTTGCAAACCGATTTTGAAAGCAACACGAGCGATATATTACCACTTTAAACGGACGCGCGATCGCACACACCGTTGCACGTTCTAATTCTGACGTTAGAACGCATCAACAATCCAATTTCCACAGAGAAAGTAGATCATTTATGCTATCGGCACGCATGAATATAAATCAAATGGGGATTTTAACGAAGGAAGACCAAGACGAGATCACTACAATGGCAAAGTGGTAGAAACGTAAATCGAATCATGCGTTGCACATACAGAGATGCAGAGAGAGAGAGAGAGAGAGAGAGAAAACAAAACAACGGTTAAAACCAAGGGGCGAATCACTACTGAATTGACTGAAAGTACTGAAAACTACTGAAACCGGTTTTCAGTACTTCAGTGTCAGTTTATGCATTGAATACGTCAAACTATGACGCTTGACTTATATCATTAACGCCATACAGTTTAAAAATTGATATTGAGGTAGAATTTTGGAAAAAATTGAAAAAGATTTGTCTACAAAAGTGCCAAACTATAAAAATACGACATTCAGTAGTTTGGAAATAAAAATACGCCGAAAAACATTTGTGTAAAAAATCCATTCTTGTTTTGTTTGGCTTTAGTCTTCGTGGTTTCAGAGATGCACTGACATTTCTAAGAGTTGATGATACACACATCAATGTCATAGAAATTTTCATTCGACGAAAATTGCCAGACATATATTTTCGACATAAATCACTCTTTCCTGATGTCAGCTCCTTTATTGTGTCTTTAGACTTTTCTAATTAAAATATAAGTGGACTTTATTTTTGATAAAATACGTTCAATTTCCATTTCGAATGCTAAAAAACAAACATTAAACACAAGTGTCAAGAAATTTTGACAATACTGAACTGCAATAAAAGTCATATATTTACTAGGTACTGAAAAAACTGAACCGCTACTGAAAATCGATCGCAGGTACTGAAAAGTACTGAAAACCGGTTTTCAGTAGTAATTCGCCCCTTGGTTAAAACAGCCGGTTTACTAATCAGTGTGGACTGGAGCATTCGATGCAACAAACAAATTATAATCATTTTTGCTCATTTTCTTCTGATTTGGTGCAAACGTGAATTATTATCAGATTGTTGCTGCGCGCGCGTTCTTTGTTTTTTCTCTCTTCTATTTCTCTTATAAGTCCACGTTTCAATTTCAACATTTCACAAATTGTGCATCGATCCAATCGATCGAATTGACCTCGAAATGGAGTCATTGATTTTGCAATTCCAATTTGATTGCAATCGCGACTAGATCGAGAAAAAAAATTACACACGACATTTCAATTTCGGTGCAACAAGTGTGCATGCAGAGTCATTTATCACACACACACACACACACACACACATACACAATTACCGTTCACAAACTGGCTTCGCCATGGCGATGCTATCGATGAAATGATTCACTTTGCTTTGTTATTGGTCTGAAACGAATCAACAAACGGTTCAACGTTCAACGCAGAAAAAAAATAGAGAGAAAGACGGTGTGTTTGTGTTGCTGGTGCTGTTGCTGGCTCCCGCTTCATCCACCATCGCACAGGTGCCCATCATACGGAATAGGCCCGAAAAAAACAGAAACAAGCGCGCGCGAGCGAGCAGGAGAGAGAGAGAGGGAGAGAACAACAACCGAATAAGCTGCAATGAATAAATAACAAGATTAAAATAATAGGCAGGTATGTAGCTGCACTGAATTAAAACGTAAAACGCTGAAAATGTATTGTGTTTTGTGAGCGGGCGCGCGCTCACGCACACACGCTCTCACCGCGACGACGGTAATCGAGTGACGGTTCACAGGTACAGTAACAGCAACAGCAACAAGCACTACAAATTCACAACGTCGCACGCTACATGCCACAGGCCACTTGCAGCCACAGTAACATACGCTCAGGTATTCAGTTTGGTTCGAGTGTTTCAACGTGTAACACACACGCTGCTGTTGATCGGCACTACTGCTGCTGCTGCTGCTACTTTTTTTTATTCTCTCAATTGGTTACGTTTTCTTTCATTCCTCCGTTCTATTTCTTTCTATCGGTTGTTTATACTGTGTGTTTTTCTGATTGAATGAAAGAATTTCTGCCATTTCATTATTCGGTTTGGGCTTTGTTGTTTTATTTTTTTATTTTTCTCCATTCGGCTGTTGTTAATTTAATTTCTGTTAACATTGGAGCTACGAACGCAAAAACTCCATGACTGAATACTTTACACAAGTTGAAAATTAAAGATTTCGTGTGTGTTTGACTGCCGAAGAGTGATCATGTTCGTGTCAATGATTTGCGTTATTTGATCACTTCAAAAAATAACAAATTTTTTAATCAAATAACAAAATAAAAAGCAAACAAACTACCCAGCACTTTGATGCACCTGTATGATCATCAAAACGCCGCTATCAAACGTGAAAAATCAACGAAACATGCAAATCAATGTATGTTCGTGCCGAGGCTAAGAACGAAAAACGCACAGCTTTTTGTTGTGACCTGATTTGGTGGTGCTAGAGAGAGAACGAGCGAAAAGCGAGGAGACAAGTGCTACACTGTGCACTACGTTATTTCGTGTATTTTTTTCGCTCATTTGTTTGCAATTTTGCATTTGTGTGTGTACGTGTGTTTATGTGCTATAAAAATAATTTAAAAAAAGAAGAAGAGAATAACTTCTCCACTTTAAATGTAACATTTCCATTGGTGTGTGCGCGTATTTGCTTGCGCTCATTTGCGGAACTACGGTAATTGTTTATGAAAAGTTCTTTTAACTGCGCAAACGACTAAACTCTGAGTTTCAACTTTGCTCATCGAAATAGCTTAGCAAGCTATTTTCCATTTGTTGCAAAACAGAATAGCAAACAATAACGCCCAGAACAAAACACACACGCGAAAAATTAACGAAATGATGAGAAAATTATAGAGAAAGACAATTTGCATTTGACATATTCTTCTGCGTTGCTCTTTTCGCTTGATGCTTTCCATGTTCTCTGTCGAAAAAAAAAACCGAACAACTAGTGAACAGCGTGAGAGCAGTGTGTGGTGTGTGGAGTAGAAAAGAGAATTCTTGTCCGCGTACACAGAGAATTCAGTGAGTATCGGAACTTAATGTGAATCCAAGCGTGTGCATATATACCTACATCTATATCCAATAAGCTGAGGGATCGTGGCTTACAGATAAGGAACAAATTGTGAAGACAGCTGCCAACTGTGCTGCGCTTGTAAATGGAATGAAATAATGTGTGTTAAGTGTGTGTGTGCGCGTTTGATAGCGTAATATAATCAGAAAGAAGACCAATAAAACGCAGGAAAAAAACACTATCGTCGAAAAAGTAACGTGATTAAGAAGATTTGTGTGTGTGCGCGCGCTTGTGTGTTATTTCATCGATGAAATTATCGAAATCATAGCAGCACGGTAAAGAAGGCAAAAAATAAAGAGAAAGAGTGAAGAGAAATGCTAAAGTGCGCGATATTCTAACGAAAAATTGTGAATTCATTTTAATGAGTGCGTACGTTACCTAAAAAAAAGCACGATCGCCAGTTTTTTCTACAAAAACCGGAAAACCGACGAAAACAGAAAAAGAAAAGACAGCGGTTTTTCTTTCTCACTTACCTTTTTTTCCCGTCGTCGACGTGTGACGGATCGTTTGATTTTTCGTTTATTGTTACTGCTGTTCGTTGTACTTGATATTGGATTGGAGAACAAATTACTTTGTTTGCGTGGTGAATTGCTGGAACTCAATACACTGAAATACGAACTCTGCTTTATTTGGCTGGTTCGAGTTTTTTCCTTCGTCTCATCTCTTCGTTCTGCCGATCGGACTGAAATCCGAACAGACAACAACAACAATAAAAGAAACATATATTCAAAATGCCATTTTTTACGAAAAAATCACCAACACCACCAACGTTCGACAATAATAACCACAAAAGTTCAACAACCACAAATAATGTCAATATTCTATCGACAGCATCGCAATTACCCATGGCACAGCATATTATTGAGAAAAAAGTGCCATCGCCGCAAATCGATGCAAATATACTTAAGCCACAGCTCGTGTTCCACTGTCAATTGGCACACGGCAGTCCGACCGGGCTGATTTCGGGATTTGGCAGCGTGAAGGAGCTCTATCAAAAAATTGCTGAATGCTATGATTTTCCCGTTGATGAGGTAAGATGTTTCTTTCGGTTGACCATTTCTTCCATTGCTATTTTCTACTTTTGACACCTCCACAACCGCACTCTCCTTTCGTTCGTCAAGTGCGTTGTTAGTGAGATTAATTTGGTTTTATTGAATTTTGCGTTTTGCGAAAGTTGATGTGAAGCAATTGGAGAAAGTTGACGGTGCTTTTCATCATTGATAATGAATGCATGTTGACATAAAAATACAGCAAAAAATATGTGTATTTGTTGTTTGTTTTTTTTTCGCTAAACACACAACGTGATCAATTTCATTGAGATGCACGTCACTTTCGATATCTTTGAATTGTCTCTTTTTTTTTAATTACCTCGTTCGATTCCAAATTAGAAATCATTTCATGAGAAAAAGAAGAGACAAATGAAAATGTATCATACTTTAAATGTATGGAATTATTGAGCTTTGAAACACAATCGTAATGAATCAAAATTGGGATTTGTCCACTCATAAATGGTTAAGCATTTTTCATGAGGTTTTTGATTGTCTCGCCTAAACCGTTATCTATTGAACGTTTGTTATCAACGAATACAACACCAATGGTATCTCTCTGTGGCAATATCGTTAACAAAAGGCTTTTGTAACTGCGATAAAGTAATATGAATGACATGACGTACAGTATTTGGCAAATAAAGATGGCATTGTGCGACACAAGAAAAACAAAATCAATTCCATGTTTTTTATCACCTTTCAAATCACTTTTTCTTTGATGGGCAGCCAATTTTTTTGAGTGTGCGAGAGAAAGAAGCAAAAAAGAGAGATAGAGAAAAAGAACGTTGCTCATTTTTATTGGGACGAAAATGACGAGAAAAACGAGTATTCAAATTTAATTTTAGCTCGAAATATTAAATTAGTTGGAATGAAAAGAGTGTCCAATGAGGTCACTATATATCACTACTATTATTCCATTCATCCGTTTATCGTTTGTTGGTGTGTACGTTGTCAAACGAAGTGTAAATTCTTCGGTGATCGATAGTTATTGTCGAAAAATCCATTCAAGCATATAAAATCGTTGGGTAAAATCGATAGAAAATTGTGTGTTAAAAATCCAGGTCTCTGAACGGTTCGATATGGTAGTCGGAGACGGGAGGGAAAAATGAGTGTTAAGAGGGTAACACTTATTTCATTTTATTATTGGCACACACCAAGAACAACAGCAACAGCAGCACTCAGCATTTACATAAAAATGATTGTGTGTATTTGCGTATGGCGTGCGCTCTGTTCTACTTTGTAAGATGTGCTTAATGTATATACGAGTGTTGCCGATGGTTTTGCTATATGAAGCCCGTTGTTTCTGCATTGCTTTCTTCTTTTCCGCGCGCGCGCGCAAGTTCTTAAATGCAATCGAAAAAGATATTTGTTCGTTGATACAATAAATTGAATCTATTCGCCTCTTGATTCGCGTTCCCAACATTGGATTCCTCTTTGCTTCGCTTCTCTCTCTCTCTCGCTCACTTTTTGCATCTCTTTGCGCCGTGCATTGTGCACCGTATTTTTGCCGCTATTTTATTCAAATGCATTTATTACGTTTTTTTTCTTCTGGTTTTCACGCATTCTACGAATCAAACACTTGATTCCATACTATACAAAATCTATTTAGCAAATAATAAATTTTACGTGCATGCGATAACACCAACAACAACAAAAGATTCGAGAGAAGAAAAAAAAAAACTCCCAGAACAGCCTATTTTATTATATTATTTCAAGCTATAAAAAGAAAGGCAAGCGGCATATAATTTGCATGTATTTAAAGAGAGAAAAAATAAATCGCAACGCTTTGTTCGGCGTTGATTCTTGGGCGATTGGATTAAAAGCCGCTCAACACCGTACCGCCCATCCTTTCGCCGAAAGCGAGCGGCTTTCCAGTGAACACCTCGAGTCCAATTTCCAACTAAAACGAATGACATCTTTTGTTCACAGGCATATTTAAACCTTATCTAAAATTAGACTAATTATGCAATTAGGTGAGATAAATTAACATGATATCGCACGATCACATGCAAATGATTTTTTAAACCGTCAACCGTTCATACTCAATTTGTCGGTGGTGTCTTGAGAATTTCTCTTTCGTGGCATTATACACACCTCTCTCCCTCTCTCTCGCTCTCTCTCTCTTTTTCCCAATCGCAGTGTGTGTGTGTGTGTGATGTCTTCATTTCATTGTGCGTATTGTGTGTTGTTTGACGGTGAAAATGCTATGGAAAATAAAATGGAATGCCACGAACAACAACAAGCAACAAGTAACCAAAGCTGGAAATTGAAACGCCAGTAAAAGTGTTAGACGAAACATGAAAACTGAGTTCAAATCATATATATTATACCCTTTCCGAGTTACATTTTCTCTGACACTTTCGTTTTTGAGCGCAACTCATGATGTATGGAGGCATAAAACGCAACCAACGGCAACGGCAGTAGCAGCGATGGCAACTGCAACTATAGCTGCTTGTATTGCTTTGCTGTACACTGTACAGCCTGCATAAAATGCATGCAACACATAATTTGTGTGTCATTTTTTGTTGTTGATGGTATTCATTTGGAATCGGCACTATATTTTGGTCGATTCAGGTCTCGAATTCCACTCGCATTCCGTTTTTTCTCAGTTTATTAGTTCGAATGAAGTTGCAACCAACAGCAGCAGCATAAGCATCAACAAAAAACGATGCCGACTGAAATGAAACGAAGCCGATCTTTTGTCTCTAACAATCGCACATTAATTAAGCTCCAGTATTTCTATCTCAATTTCGCATTGAAAGCATGCGCTAATTATTTGACATTTCGCAAAACAATTTTCGATTGTTTTTTTTTTTGTCAGAATCGAGCGTTGGAAAATTCGGAGCGGTACTTTGTCAAATTTTTATTATGTTTATAAGGTTAACAGATAACAAAGAGTACATAAAATAGGCTTTCGACATGATGCGCTACAGTACACAATGCCAACAAATTTATATAAGAACCATAAATGACTTATAATTATGGCAGAAATTAAAGTAATGAACACTTCATTTTCTATTATGTTCCGTTTGTGTGGCGTAGCTATTCCATTGCAGATTAACAGTTTTGCGAGCAATATTTTGTTCAACTAAGTTGTTTTGAATGTGGTCTATTAGGCGTTGACTAATTCAATTATCGAATCGTGTAAGTGCTAATGTACGTGTATTTTTTTTGTGTGTCTCAAAAGCGCTAGACAGAATATGTTAATTGGTCAATTGGTTAATTTCTTCTTTTCGACAGACACGTGTCACAGCAACAGTTTTCGTTGGGTTTTTCTTTCTACGTCTTTGTCACCGATCACGCAATGCTGCCCGATTGTATGCGATTATATTCATAATTACTTGCAAAATGATTGTGCATTTTGAATTGACCAAAAGGATCATATTTTCTTCAGCCAATAGAAGATAATCGCCTGCATGACAAACGAATTTGCTTGAAAAAATGCATAGACAGTAATTAGCAACTCAAACCGAAACTGAAAGTCAATTCGTTTTTTATTGCAAAATGTTGTTTGAATGCATTAAGTTAATTAGTTTTTTGGCTTTCAATGCAACTGGCCACAACAATGGCATAGACCCGACGCATTTAATACGCAGTGGACAGTAACGAGTCATATTTTTGGGCGTCGAATTTTCAGAAAGAAAAAAAAAATTGACAAATGCAAGACACATTCACATCGATTCCCCGTTTGCATGGAGAAATGAATGAAATTTTTTTTTGGATATAATAGTATTCGGTGGAGCGACGCGCTTTTGTTCCATTTACATGCACATTCATAAATTGTGTTTGAATGAAATGCACTCAACTTTATATCCGTTACGCATTTCAATGCGGCACTGCGTGTATCGAACGGCGATTCCAACGAAATAGATGGAGAATGAATGGCAACGCATGCAGAGTGAGATAGCTGGATGGTGATTGATCTGAAGTGAATTGTGTGAACATTTTTCTTTGCTAACATTGAAAACGGATTAATTCCGATGGAAATAATGACTTGGCTTTTGTTTGAAATTTCATTTTTTTTTTCTTGCTTTTAGATTATTTTCTGCACGCTAAATTCGCATAAGGTTGATATGACCAAGTTGCTTGGCGGTCAGATTGGCTTAGATGACTTCATTTTTGCGCATCGCAAGGGTCGACCAAAAGAAATCGAGATTGTCAAATCGGAAGATGCGCTTGGTCTCACGATCACAGACAATGGCGCCGGTTATGCATTTATCAAGAGAATCAAAGAGGGCAGTGTTATCGACCATATTCCACATATTCAGGTGAATTTCAAACTTAATTAACTTTTTTCCGTTTTGAATTAATGGTTTATTTAATTGAAGAGAAAAACGATTCGTTTTTCTTAATTAAAAAAAGCAATTTTCAAATTAAACAATTCGATTCGATTGTTGCTAGTAAATTGAATGAAAATTAAAATACTTGAGTAATGAATGAAATGTCTTCTTTCAGCCGGGTGATCACATAGAGAAGTTAAATAATATGAATGTGGTGGGCAAACGACACTACGAAGTAGCTCGGCTTCTAAAAGACATACCGACCAATACGACGTTTACGCTGCGACTAATCGAACCGATGAAGAGCGGTTTTCAGGGAATCGGTCCACGCAATGGATCAAAAGGTGGCACAAAAAAGGGTTACGGTACGGGCAAAGAGACACTTCGTTTCAAGGCTAATGGAAATGCAGCAGTCGAAGAACAAGTAATAAAACTTTCCACACAAAACACAAATGTCATTCGATAATTTATTCGAATTGCGATTTTCTAACCACGTTTTTTTCTCATTTTTACGCTCTTTTTTTTCTTCATTGGAAACGCACGCGCGACAGCACGACGAGACAACACAAATGGGTATCGACAACATAAATGCACTTTTGGACTCGTTTATGGGCATTAACGATTCCGAACTCGCCGAACAGGTATGAAGACACATTCGAATTAATCAAAATCAAAATCAAAACCAATTTCACTGCTTTCATTTCAAAACTGAATACGTTCGCAATGGCATCGTGTATTGTGCGTGGTTTAATTCTCTCTCTTCTCTCTCTCTCTTGTTTCCTCCAAAGATTTGGGACTTAGCGAATAATAAAACGAATTCGATGGATTTTGCAGAGGCGATCGATAATTCGGATTTAGAAGCATTTGAGTTCACCGATGATTTCATTATTGAATTGTGGGGTGCAATCACGGACGCTAGACGCCATAAAAAGAGCTAAAAGTTTGCGCGCGTGACTTATCACTTCCAAAAAGAAACTTAATTTAAAAGATACAGACAACACAAAATCTGTAATATGATTAGTTAGGCTAGTAACAGACAGAAGAAAAAGAAATAATATCAAATACTATAACAACGTTGAATATTTCATAGTTTCGAACTCGTCTACGAATACGAAACTGGTCTATTGTTTTAAAAGAAAGAACGAGACAAAATAGAGATATATACACACCGTTAAAATATTATAAATGTCATTCTCGATCGGGGCAATTAAGATACAAGTTTCGCGCATAATGATAGTTGGTACAAAAAAAAAACTGATAGCAGACACAGTCGTGCACCGAAAGAGATGGCATTTTCGCAATGAACAATAAAAACAACATGAAACATTCGATTGTAAGAGTTGAGAATTAGTAAAATGCTAAAAAAAAATGGTCCAAATGCAATAAAACTGCTACAAATAAGCGAAGCGATGTGTGCTTTTCATTTCAGCTGGTGTAATTTTCCATTCTTCCCCCGAAAGTACCTGTGGTAATATGGTAAGGATTCTTTGCTGATGAAAATTAAAGAAAAAAAACAATCATTTTGTTCTAACTTGAATCTTAAATTCATTTATTCAATTATCAATTTATCAACCGCGTTTAATACAATCAATTTTCTTCCCTAATGCATATAAAAAAAAATTATCGAGTTTTGTATGATTTAATTTTTTGGGCTGGTCTCCGTTTGGATGTATTTTTCGATTTTTTTTGTTATGTGTTTGTTTGTTTGTTTTTTTTTGGTAAATAAATTGATGCAAAAATAAATATATCATCACAAATGAAGAAAACAAAAAAAAATTAGTTAACTAGCACTTATACATGTTTTTACTAACGAAAAGTCGGAGCGATTCCGAGGACAAAGCCAGGATAGAAAGCAGAAAACAAAACTCAAGATCAATTTAAAAAAAAAAACGCTTTGTCTCTGATGCTACGGGTAGGTAAGTAAGCGCCCTGATAACTGAATCAATTCAATTGGTTTTCTCTATCAGTCGGTGGAAGCAACGTAAAAAAAACTCCAACTCATTTCTGGGTGCACATTTGGTTGTGTGTATTAGTTGTATGGCAAAAAAATTTCTTCCGTTTTTCTCTTTCATTTTCGCAAATTCTTCACATTCATCCTTTCGTTTGTCTCCTCTTACCGTTGCAACTTGATCGCTAATGTATGATTTATTTTTTTTCGAGAAAAAAAAATGTTGTGCTTAGAATCGTCTTGGTCCGCTGTTCATCATTTGTTTTACACTAAACGATGACACACCGATACCGAATACAGCCATCAACGCTGCGGTTTTTGGTACGGCATGCTCGGTTTGACCAGAAAAACTGGACACCTGTAAACAAACGTAGAAGAAAATTAAAGTTATGAAACATTAACAAGTGATCATTTTTTTCCATTATTTTTTCCATTAAATTTTTTTTTTCATGCAATTATTTTTAAGCATCTGGTGTACTATAAATTTAGATTGTTTTTTTTTTCGTTTGCCCTTTTTCATTTTTCTATATTTACATTTTGTCGTGAAATAATCGATTTAATTGCAACATTCTTGGCGGCCGTGGGAAGCATTTTTTTCTTTCTTTCTCTGCTGGGTAGCGTAAAAATTCAATTGGATTTTGGTTATCAATACGCAAAATGTATATTAAATACAGTGTGAATGCTTAAGAGTGACTCTTCGATTCGATGCATAAAGTAAGACTGCGAGAGACTGGTTTGTGACTTTGACCGAGCTACTGAACGTAATTTCCATTTATTCAAATGCGACATACGCTCTCTCTATCTCTCTCCCGCGTCTGTATATTCATTTATGACGCAGGATTCCGTGTGCTGTTTTGTTTTTTTTTCACTCTCAACTTATCATGGCATTTTAATTTGAACATTTTACATCACATTCACACGATTCATGTGGTTTTTTGTTTCGTTCATTTTGTTTGGTCACAGTTTGATTCACTGCAATTACTTCGTAATTTTTTTCTCCCGCTTATCACTCTAAAAAAAAGAATGAAAGCTGTTGAAACTGTAACAAATTACCGGGTATCCAAGTGAATAATATCGCAGTGATTGCAATAAATTTATGGCAAGTGCGAAATAACGATAACAATTAATCAAAGACATGTATTAGATGCACGTTTCAACGATCGCAAACACTGTCGATCGAATTAGACTATGCACATAGACACACACACGAGCCACTTTGCACCCGCCGTAAGTTCCGGACAATTGTCCATTTTGATTGAAATTGACGTAAACGATCAATGGATTTGTAAAGTGGATTTAATTCCGTTAGACGTTTTCGACGGCATAGCCGACATCAGGTCGTTATCAACAATGTAAATGAGAGCTGGATTCGTATGTCTATATCTCTCGCACTCGGTAATTTACGCTTATTTGCACATAGCACTACGGAACGGTTATCGATAATATGTGTTTCTCGTTTATTTAAGCCAAATCTTGTTGGAGAAAAAAAATAGAACGATGTAATTCGGGTTCCAGGCCGGAAATAATCGCTTTATTGCAATTAACACGCAATTGTCATCGATTTACCTTCTACGACGCTCTTTGTGTGAATACGTAACACGAGTAGAACGAAAATAAACTGATTCTAAAAATAGTTAAGTCGACTTAAGCGCACTGAAGAAGAAGAAGAAATAGAAAATTGATGGGCACACATAAGTAAACGACGCTAGAGAAGAAAAAAAACGGTCGAATAAACAAAGCAACAAGAGTTGTAAGAATTTGCTTATCGTCTGTGGCGAACGAGCAAGCGCGCATTCTCACATTGCGCACACGTTTTTTTTTTCGACAAATCATGTGATATATATTTTTCTGCTGGCAATATGTTTGCTCTTTTGATTTTTTTGACGTGTCACTTAAGATAATGCCAAACTAATACATGCATTTAGCGAATAGCGGACTGAATGGCGCCAAGTGAAAGTACACACACACACACCGACATTTATTCTGAGAATTGGATTTATCATCTATTATTAGTTTGTGTGCACCTGGACTACAACACTGTAGTACAGTGACTGTACACGCGCTGATAAAAAAAAGAGGTCTATGACTAGTGCTTTTCCCTATCTCTTTGTTTATTTTCTCTCTTTTTTAATTGTACAGTGAAAATAATCGGTGTTCGATATGCAATCAATCTGTGCACTTAATTATTCGAATGAAAATTGATTGATTGTGTTCGCTTTTTCTACGGAATTGTGAATTGAAAAGTGCATTTTCAAAGCATTTTTATCGAAGAACATGACCCACTTTTTACTGTAAAACACACAACACCATTTGAGCCTGTTTCACATGATCAACTCCGAAAAGTAATGTAGACCCAATCTGGGCCACACTTGCTCACCGAACAAGGTTGAGGTCAATCGACAGCAGTTTATTTTTGTGCGTTGGAATTTTTGATGCTTAAATTGAGGTCTCAGTTTGAAATTCTCAGATGATTATGCCAAAATCATTTCAAAAATGCATTTTTTTCGTATGTGACAAATTTATTCGCAACCTAATCGTCAAGCTTATCAGTTTTCGGTGTTTCTTTTAACTTCTGTTTTTTTTTTTGTTGTTGCAAAAAACCGTTCGCAGCAAATGTGTCTCTCAATTTAAAAGTTCAAGAATGATTAGTTGGAGTCACTGATTGAACAGACGCCGTATTTTTTTCTTGAAAGATTCAAGGGATAAGAAAAATGTTTGCATGATATTTAATGAGAGTTGCAAAAAATAGGTCTCAATTTCGACATGATGAGTGCAGTTGAAAAAAAAAAATTAGTTCTTTGACATCATAATCACGTCTTTTGTCTCGCTTAAAATGATTATCAAACGAGATTTTCGTTGAATGCAACACGTACGGTTAACTAAACCATTTCAAATCGAACATTTTCTATGTATATTCTTGCCGATATTGGAATCGGTTGCATTTTAGTGAACTTGATTACTTAACGAAAAGTGCATCGAACATTTTGTATTGATCGTAATCACAATTGACGTACTTTAAAACTGGCATGTGCCCAGTGACCGAAAATACAAAGGTCAAACGGATTCCGGTTACTTACAAATAGTCTACACATTCCACTGATAAACATTTTCGTCAATGCAAGTGAAAGGTGTCAAAGTTCTTTTCTTATTGTTAATACTCACCATATTGTAGCTTAGCCGATTTACTGCATAGTTTATAAGTTGTGGAGCTCTCATATTGTGTGTGATGTTGGTTTTAGATATTGCGCGTTTGATTACAAATTGCTGCAACAAAATATAAGACAGATTGAATTAAAGAAAGTATGAAATTTTGTTTTTTTTTTTGCTCTGAGAATGATTTTAAATAAAAAAATAGTTCACTGTAAATGGATTTACAATGGCGATACTGTATTTTTTCGGATACTGTATTTTTTTTTTGAACGATGCAAAGTATGCTACCAAACTAATGCTTTGTTCTAATAAGCCAAAACAAAGAGTGCCATGCTTTATGCGACGTAATTTTGTATCCAGATTAGAAACTATTTTTACCCCGTCAGAAAAATTATTACGCCAAAGAATTTGTTTGTTTTTTGAGAAAAAAAACCAATTCGAAACTACTCGGTATGGGTATTGTGATTCAACTGTGTGGATAATTAAAATTTTGAATGCATTTCGCTTATATAATGGTTTTTGCGGCGAGGAAGTGTGCTACAAATTTGGCAACACGGAACACTTCAATAGGCACACAATCTATGGTACTACTGCATTTGCTTTCTCTCTTTCGGCGACGTTTCTTCCGATTTCACAAGGTTGCATCATATTTTTATTGTCACATTTTGCATGGCTTTTTGTTTGGGTCTGATGAAAATTATAGACTAAAAACTAAGTTAAAAATATTTTTTTTGCTTACTTGGTGTTATTAGTAACACAAACACGTTCACAGCACGATGCTCGCTAGCAGTGAAAAGACTGAGTTCTTGTTTTAAAATGTCAAAGAAGCAAGAGAAAAAAAAGTTGTACCGTAGAGAAAAATCGATATTCTACACGGAGACTTTTTGACGTCACCAGAAAAAAATGGTTTTTAATTTGAGATCAAATGTTTTAGATGAAAATTCGTTTCCAAAATTTTATTTTCTTTTCCATATGAAACAATCGAAATTATTTTCCGGCAAATGAGGGTCAATGTTCGTTTGAATCTGCCGATGAATGTTCTAGAATCCACAATTGAAATCATCGAAAATGTCGAAAACATCGCATCGGACGAAATGTGCGACAGACAAAGAAATGTCGAGAAATGTCATGACTGTCAACGCACGACCAATACGCACATGACTTACACTTGCTGTATTGGAAGTAACTGTTTTGTCACACTCTGATTTGTGTTATTTGGACCCATTCTGCACACAGATTTTTCGTTTCACACCAGAAATCAACAAAATGGGACTCTCACCTGATGCCAAAGAGCGCTTGGGCGTTGTATTCGATGTCGCTAAAACTGTATTCCACTGGGGATTCATTCCAGCTGTCCTGTATTTAGGTAAATTTTGGCATTTTTTCCCGCAAATAATCTCTTTCCAATACAAACGGAATCTAACCTTAAAAAAATGGTGCTATTTTCTTTGTGTGTAGGATTCAAAAAAGGTGCTGAGCAAGGACATCCTCCATTATCCATTTTTAGGTAAAAAAAATTTGAAACAAACATTTTCTTAGCTTCATTTTGGTTCACCCAATCGAGTTTGTTTTTATTTTTTTCATTTGACTAATGGTGAATTTATTTGTCTCACATTTCAGTTTGCTGTGGCAGTAGAAATCCATAGGATATGTGTTAATAATACAAACTTACAGACTTAGAAATAAAGCCGAACGATTAAATGCATTGAAAATAAATCCAAGTTAAATTAACCAAGCCACCTGGTCTCATTCAATCTATATAACTAATTCGATATACTTATACAACATCAAAAATCATCAAAATTTATTAAAATTAGCATTGTTTAAGCTAATGCTACTCAAACTTTCGGACAGCTCCCCCATGTTGTCGTTTTCTTCGACGTCCGTGGTGAAATTCAATAGCTCTGACTTACTTAAACCCCGTTCCAATTCGGACAAATTTGTACGGTTTGGCTCCAAATTGTCGTTCATTACTTGGTTACTATGGATGGAATATTCAACGGTTTTGTTAGTGTCATTGTTGTAAGTCAATGGTATGCAATTCATGGCCGAGTTCATCGGATGGTTTGTAGTTGTAGTTATCGTTGGATCCATATACCCCATTCCTTGCTGTTGACCATTTGCATATAGATTTGCTTGGGCGTGCTGTTGTTGTTGTTGTTGCTGCTGTTGCTGTTGCTGTTGCTGTTGGTATATATTCGGTAGCAATATTGGCCGTGCATTGTACGACGGTGCTTGGGCAATTGATGGCTCACCAAAATGACTATTGACATTTTGATGCTGAGCCATTGGTGTATAATAGTACGATGGATAGTTCGGCGTGTTCGAATATGTGCCACATGGATAATTGTATTGTTCATCATATGGGTTTGTATTGGCCATTGGTCGCTGATACTGCGACTGAACCGATGCTTGCTGGAATGTGTTCGGCAGTTGATTGTTCATTGGCATTTGAATATTCTCTTTGTTTTCTTCCGCTAAAAAGACCAGAGAAAAAATCATTCGTCATTTTTTTGAATTAAGAACTTGATTCAATGAGGAAAAAATCGTCCTTTGAATCTTAAAATTTAATTTTGATTGTGTCGATGAACTTACCCAAATTGATGAGGGTCGGTGGATTTGCTGGCCGTTCTACTGCGTTATTCCTGTTAACTCCAGTCAAAATATTTCCAACTTGTATATTTGGCACAAATTTGGGCTTTTCCGCCTTTTTCAATGAGGCTGCATACGAATTCAGTTCCTTCGTAGCCGTATCGTTCATTTTTTTCTGTTTTTTACGCCGTAGTTGAACACTGTGTGCACTATTGGGCAGAAATTCGAATTGAAGTGGTTCGCTGAGCTCATTATCTGATGGTCGATACAGTTGAACAAATACTTTCTGCGGTTCTCCAATATCGAATTCCCTGTACTTGGGCGTTTGAAATGAAATCGCATACTGGTGGTGAACCTTCATTGACGCAGAATTTTTGTAGTGGATCTCTTCTTTCCAGATTATTTTCTGATTGTCATCTTCTTCATAAAATACAACGGATATGTCTTCCCGTTTCACCTTGTCACACAGCAAAATTATCTTATCACCACCCACGACTGATGCTCTAAGCGTGCTCATTTCCGTAATTTTCAACGATCCGTTGGATTTTTTATCCATAATTGGTGTGGATAGGACATATCCGATTGGTTCATATTGGGTTTTTTCGTTAGGCTTATACTTGAACGCCTCAAAACATAGACGCACACAATGCAAATCAATGTGTTGCGGTCTTGATATGTAACTCCATCCACCTAAAATATGGAAAAAAATATGGGCATTTTTGAAAAATTGTAAATGCTATCATTGCAAAGTGACGAGTGTATTTTTTTTTTATCGAGGAAAGAATGAGATTCGTTTGCAAAGGTATGAAAAAATCAACGGTTCACATGTGTTCACATACACTCTTTTTGCGTGAACAGAATCCGATCGAGATATTCGAATCCTGATGAGATACATTTGATTATTTTACAACCATCAGTCGTGCAGATTCCCATCACAATCTCAGTCTGACTCTGAAAATTCTAGGATAAATAAAATGTTACTCACCTTTCGTTGGATCGATATTCATACTCTTTCGATGTTCTAACGATTCTTTAATATCTTGCTTTTTGACAAACACAATACCAATATCCTTGATTTGAATCTCTCCCAAATTTCCCACATTACGCACGATAAAAGCTTCTCCACTTTTTCGCACCTCCTTGGTTGACACTTTGTGCGGATGCTGTCTGGGTGTTGCTTTCGCGCTTTGTTCGTTGGTTACACAAGATATGCGTATAGCAACCATTCCACTGTAATTATGAACTTTGATTGTTGGATAGCTGGGAACGTCTCTTGTTGCATTTACACCAAGAATCGAACCACTCAATCGACCTTCACTTTCATAACGAAATCGAAAGGATTTTTCCGCTGGTTGTTCAACAATTTCCAAGTATGGCTTGTTTTCCATCGTCAAAAATAAACACTTTCTTCGCTTTGTTCTGAATAAAAATAACGATAAATTGCCTTTTCACTTCTTTTTAATTTGATACCAATTGTTTTTAGTTTGACACGCGTGTTGTGATCACTTCAAGCCATCAACATGAACTAACGGTACAATTCAAATATTCAAGATTTATAAGCAGAATCATGGTGTCAATAGATTTTCATCTTCTTCCAACTACACTAATGTAATTTGTCACACATACTCACTACTATTTTGGTTATCAACACACATTCGTTGTCGACCGTGTAACGGTGCCAGGTCATTTATTGGATAATCATGGATGGACAGAAAAATTGAAACAATACCTACATTTTCTTAGAAATGCTAATGGTAAATTTTCTTATGTTGAATTCTTATCAACATTCGTACAGTACAAAATGAATGCCCAAATAGGATGGCAACTAATCGCATTATTATGAAAAAATTACCATATGCGCCCCGATGCAAACGAAAATTTTGCGTCTCGTATCAAATACGATATCTACTGCGATTCATGCCATGGAGCTGTTGACTTGAAATGCGCCAATATGAGTGGCAGCTATTTCACATGCAACAATTGTGAATCCCATTAACAATAATCGTTATTTTGCCAATTTTTTTAAATGAATTTTTTTTTTGTATTCAACATTTTGCATTGAAAATGTTTCAGTTTTCTCTCGGATTAGAAAGTTCTACGTTCCCCAACATTTTTGAATAAAAAAAAATCGAATGTTTTCGGTAATCACATTAAAAAAAATTTCAGCCAATTTGAAGGCTGCCGGCAAAAATTAGGTTTCTACACGTACGTTCCGTTTTGAGATGTGGAAAATTTTTCATTTTTGATCAACCAAAATTTGCTTAAATTTTATACAGTTTCTACGAACAAAAATGCATCTATTTTATTTTCTTATGTTAAAATACAAATCTCTAGTATTTCCTTTATTTTCGCCGCTGTTCTCATCATTGGCATACAATCAATCAGTTTGGTACAAATGAAATTCTTTACATTAGAAACAAATCCACGCTTATATACATAAACCTAAATTTTTTTTTCTTTTAATTTAATACCGTCGGAATTGTTTTCGGAATTTATCATAATGATAATCGTCTGTGGCTCGTTTAATGCCTGGTTTTTGATTGCCATTACCCTGTCGCTCTCGATCTTCTTGCATTTTTTGTCTGCGACGCTTTGTCTCTGCATCTTCGATATTAACTACAAAAAGAGAAGAAAATACAATTCAAGTTAATGTCAATCAAATAATTTCGAAGTGAAGAGTCAAAACGAGAGTTGAAAACCAAGGATGCATACATCGATTGTGCTGACTAAAATTGACGGCAATATTGCTGGGCACAAAGTGAGATGGTGCTGACTGTAAATCCGAGAAGAAAAAAAGAAGATTATAGACCTATATGTCATTTACGCAGATTGTCCAAATTCAATGAAAAAAATACCTTTTTATTTTTCTGATCCCTTAGCAATTTCTCCTTGGCAGCTTCGGTTGCTTCGATGTTTTTAATCTTAATCTCGATACCCAAATCGACTTCAGGTATACCGTTTAGCATTTGATTCGATAACATCTCTTCCGAACGATGTGTCGAACTGACACGTAGATGTTCAGGTAACGATAAAAGTGCTGCTTCTTCGGGCGATAAATATTTTTCATCGTTGTATGTCTCATTGTCATTATCACCACCGGATTCACTTTGTAACTTTGAATTCTTTCGCTTGTTGAGCTGCTCTTCAATGTACCTGGAATACGAGAAATAATATCCTTTTCAAATACCATACTAAATCGATTAGCGAAATAAATCATCGATGATAATTACTTCATCATCTCTTCGTCTTCGTCACGTTTATTGGTTTCAGCCGAAAATTGTGTGCCAATACCAACATCATATGCATCGTCCACTTGTTGCACCTTACCAGATTTAATATTTTTCATATTGATCATACCGCCGCTCTTCATTTTGAATGGATCATTCTGAAAATGACAGAAAAAAAAACAAACATTTGACTTGAGAAAATATTTGCAATGTTGAATAGAAGAAAAGCCATTTGCTGCCTATTCGGGGCTTCTTTATACCTTCAAAACTAAATCCTCTGCTGTAACTTTTTGTCCGATTGCCAGTGCGACTGCATTCACTCCATGCGGTTTAGCTCGAAGTTTTTGGGCTAATTTCGTTTCCTCCAATTTTGCTCTGTAAAACAAAAAAAAATCAAATCAGATTGATTTATGAATTTTCTAGAAATTAACAACAAACTTACAAAACATCTTCCTCTCTTTTCTCGTCGTCATCGTCGGATGAATTTCGTCGGGTGCGAAGATTTTTCACTTTCTTCGGCTTGAATTTAATCTCCTCAGACATTTTATCTTTTTCGTTAGCCTATCAACCGTTTCACAAGGATGAAAAACATATATTTTCAATACGAAATTTGTCCAAAATAAAAACAAATCGCTCAATGTCTGCTCAACAACAACATTGACAATGTCATTTGTCAAATAAACGTTTTCAAACCGGTGTAGCCAGATGCAAATGGCTATGCTGGCTTTTAGTACAAACTTTATTTATGCGATTTCTTCAGTGAGTGGTTCAGAAAAACGTTCAACAGATGGCATTATCGGTTTTATTAGAATTGTTTCATATTGAGTTGTGTATATCCGATCGCTTATGACCGTTGCAAATTTAAATCACGATTATAACATTTGATTGAGATAAATTTTGATTATTATGAGACTCATTCCTGTGCGCAATAACATTTATGCGAATCTAACACACACGCACACACAAAAACAGTAGTAATCGTTTTAATAGTTCGGGTTCGTGATACGTTTTCGCTAACAATGAAACACTTTCATTCAACGCATTTCATCGTGAGTTTTGCTTTTTTTTCAAGTGATTAAGCGAGAGTGAATGGTATTTTCTATTGTTTGTAATGACAATGTTTTATTGGCTGTTAATGTGTGTGTTTTATATCTGGATAGGAAATGCCTACGCAAAAATTTAATCGTTTTGTTCAAAAAAATGTTCCTTCTATGGAAATTTTGTTGTGTTTGAATCGATGAAAGTTTCAATTCGTTCATACTCAACCTGCCCAGAGAAATCGGTTATCGCTTCAGTCTACTGTATTTCGCTATGCAATAACGGTATTATTGAACTAATTTTGAAACACAAATTAAACGGAAATTAATCGCTTCTATTTATATTTACTTGAAATAAATGCAAATGCCGATGTTCCACTTTGTTGGTCTATATGCGTCGATACATATTGTTGTACAATGAGTTGACAAGCGTTTTCTATTGTATATTTAGCTTTATAATCCATTTTATTAATATACCTATCGATATTGATGAATTGTCTCGTTCGTCACACAATCAATGATCACATCGAATGACATTTTCAATCGTAACAAACATTTCGGGTGAAGAAATTTTTATGCATATTTTCAAGCGTTCAACGTAGAAAAAAAAAACTAACATAAGTTTTAATGCCAAATTCCAATAAAGTTTGAATTTTAATTGCAAATGTGCTGCTGCTTCGACGATGACAACGACGACGATGAAGAACGGATGCCGAAAAAAAAAATTGAGGCGACCGATCGAATTAATCACTTTTTTGTTTGCATATTTTGAAAAATATTCGAAGTCATTGGCGCGTCATTGTTGTTGGTGGTGTTCACATCGATGACCGGCGATGGATGATGGAACAAGAAAAGGTTATATATGTTCGACCCAGGAAATGAAATGCCTAGTCCGTAGCTCGTATCAATTAAGTTTTAAATTGAGCTAGTCTAGATTTTTCTTTCTCCTTGTTGCAATTTCATAGTAAATAATTTGAATAATGTGGTGATGATGATGGTGATGGGTTCCGTCGCTTTCAAGGTTGCATTAATGTTCATTCACCGATATGTGTATGAATGTTGGTTGACAGACAAAAAAACGTCATCATAGTTGTAAGAAGCTGATTGCCCCCCAAAAGCATTGATCTTTGAAGCAACACACACGCACACAAAGTCGAACTGCTTGGACGATTGGTGAATTTTTCTCATCATATTGACGGCGACATTTCAGGCCATTGTCAAGAATTTGTATTTATGCGAAAAACAAGCTGAAGGAAAAACTTGGGATCGATGTGAAATTCATGGTCGATTTGATTGTGTGTGTGCACGCGCCAGCGTTCGTACTGACTCGGAAAAACATTTTCAACCGAGATCGACGCGCTTCAATCGATTACACAGTGATCCCGATGTTTTTTTTTGTCTGGCAATTGATAGGGACAAATCAGGCGCTTTAGAGGGCCAAAATCTAAGAACAATTGCGTTCTCAGAATATTAAAATTGGCTCAACTTTTTTAAATATCAAA